AGATATTTAGTTAATGAAATAAATATTTCTTGCCCACCATGTCAAATCTTAGGATAAGGAAGGAGATTATATCAAATCTTATGATAAGGAAATAGATTATATCAAATCATGAAGGACCAATCAAATTGATGTCTTCTTCTCCAAGACTCTCTCTCCTACACCTATAAATAGGCTCTCCTCAAAGTCACAAAATCCAACATCTAAGACACCAAGAAAATCCAACACTTCATAAATCAAGTCTCAACTCAAGAGCTCTCAATAATTCTCATGAAGATCCAAAGGTATTCTTGAAGATCCACGAGTTGCACAAAAATTTTATGTTTTTCATAAAATTTGTTGTTACAGATCACTGATAATTACAGTCGGATGTGGCAAATGTGAATGACCTTCGTGACACTGACGTTGCTTGTTCTAGAGACCATGAGGAAAGTTTCGATGGTCACGATTACCCTCTTAAAAATGGATTTGGACATTGGGTAAGTTGTCGATATGTTGTGTTTTTTCCAAGTTTTATTTCATTTTATTTTATTTTTGTAACAATCGTGTAATATGAGCTGACATTTGTAAAATATCAGGAGCAATTAATTTTCACTGAGTATTCTTCTTGCTTTGTAATGTGTTTGACATATGGGGTGTGCCAAGTTCTACATTACCTATTATTTGTTACTGATTTTCAGCACTCTTTAGCTTGTTTATTTATATACTTAAATTTTTGTTTTGGCTTCATTTTGAGTTGGACTCACAGCATGAATTAGTGTGATATGAAGTTAACATGCTTGGCTATGGCCTCTTTCATCACATGTTCCCGTTTGGTTTTTCTAACTTTTCTTAGGTCATAGACGTGGGAGGGGGGCTCGTGGAAGGGCGCGTGGGCCTAGGCCCAATGGGCCGATCGACAATTTTGCTGCCTAAGGTTGCTCAATTTGATGCATATTCAGTGAGGAGAAGATGATTTTTCAATGAGTCCGGTGCTTGCTTGCCCTTTTAATCAATGTGGTATTTTTCAAATTAGTGTATTTCACAATGTTGGTCTTTTTAATCACTAATATTTGGTCCTGTATATTTGATCGGGTATTAATAAAGTATTATAAATTATTTATTTATATATATATATATATATATGATCGCGCTCCGATGAGAATGGTTCTGAATAAAAGAAATGAGAATAAATCCTAGCCATTAGATCGAATGATCTATTGGCTAAAAAACAAGTCAAAATTATATCCTCATTAAGGGTATTTTTGTCATTACAATTACACATCATCATGCCACATCATCCCACATACATCTAACACATAAAAAACACACGCACACACACACACCAGACACACACAAACACAAAAGAAAACACAAGCACACACAGTAATCACTCTCTCTCTCCCTTCTTCCCTCTCTCTCTCTCACACACACACAAGCATACACACACAGAGCAGCATCCCATCCCGACCATCACAATATCTGCCACCGGTGCCGCCGTCGGATGCTCTCCCCCACCGGCTTCCGATTTCTCCGGTGGCCGCCGCTACAGAGCCGCTGGTAGACAGCTCCAATCTTCATCCCATGTCTGCCGCTCTAGCCCCGCCGTCAGTGCTGCACGTGAACATGGTAGTTTGCAGGGTCCACACCGATTTCGCGGTCGCGGTCGACCGGAGGCCATAGCTTGTCGGCGAGCCCGACTAGAGCGACCGCACGATGCCCTGCATTTGGCTGCCGGTTGTGGACACAACCGGCATCGTCGGAGAGCTCCTCATGGCGGCGCCGTGGTCGAGGTCAACCCGGATACAAAGGTCGCCGGCGAGCAGGAAAAAAGAGCAGCAGCAGTTGATCTGCAAAACAGAAATTTAGATGCAAAATTGGGGATTTAGGGTTTAATTTAATTTTTGAGAATTAGACAATGTTTAAGGACCTATTTGCAATTTTGTAAATATGATTTTTTTTTATTAATTGAGAAGAAATTAAAAGGGATTTTGTGAATAAGCCTTGAGAATATGCTCGAAATCCCTTTCACATGGATTTTGTAAATTTTTATTAATTTTCACAGGATTTCTTTATACATATATATTAAAATAATAAATAAAAAAAAATGAAATACGAATTGTTAAACAAATAATGTACATTAGATTGTATAATATAGTATTGGTAATAACTCACATTGCATAATGCACAATATTGCTAAACAAAATGCACATTAGTTATAGACGAATTGTATATTACTAACCGACAGATTGCACCATAATGACCGAAACCGACAAACTGAGATTTTGGGTCCATTTTATATTATAGTTTGATTATTTAGTTTTCCTTTTAAAATTTTAATTAATTCGATTTGATATCTCATTTATTTTTTAAAATAACCTAAACAATCCAACTATATAAAAATATTATTTTTTTTATTTGTATATTTTAGGTCCTTACAATAAAAAGTAATATAAAAATATTAATTAAAAAATTAAAACTACTAAAATATGATTTTATAATATAATTTATAAATTATTTTGATTATTTATGTTAATTCAATTATCCGATCAAAATAAACTAACCGTTTTGTTCAACTTTATTTTGGTTTGGAACAATATCATGAATGCACTGCCATTGCACAATTGTGTTAGGCGAAATGCACATTAATGACTATCATATTGCACCATAGCGGCCGAAGCTGGCCGACTAAGTTTTTGGCTCCGTATTTTATATAACAATATTAACTAAAACATTAAACTACTAAATATATTTTTTTTAATACAATTTATAAACTATTTTGATGATTTATGTTAATTAGGTTAACCGATCAAATAAACTAACAGTTTTGTTCATCTTTATTTTTGTTTGGGACAAAATCATAAAACGTGCATGCACTGCGATTGCACAATTGTTTTAAACGAAATGCACATTAATGACTGTCATATTGCACCATAGCGACCGAAGCCGGCCGGACTAAGTTTTTTGGTCTAACTTTTATATTTGGTTCGATTAACTGTTTTTTACTTTTAAAATTTTTGTTATACATATTATGTTTTTTTTTTATTTTTTCCAAATAAAATATTAAATAAATATATTAAAATACTAGTTTTTTTTTGCAATATAAATCACAATTTATTCCGATTGTTTTGGTTATCCAATCTAATAAAGCGATCATTTCGGTTCTTTATAGTTTGTTTGGAGACAAAAATCAATGAGTTTAGTTTTTTTTTCAAAGTTTGACTCGATTATTTCTATTTTAACGTTTCGGTCAACCGTTCGACGGATCAACCGATGAACAATCGTAAGTTGGACAGTGGCATTTTGAAAAAAGTATATATATATATATATATATATATACTTTTTTTATTTTAAATATTTCATGTGCATATACACACATATTGAGTGCAAATTATAGATCATTAATGTGCATTTACTATTTTTTATAAATTACATATTTAACACATGTAATAAATTGTAATATATCAAACTTTTTTAAAACTTGCAATTAAGTCCCTATAGACTATTAAATTCTCAAAAGTAAGCCCTACAAATCAACATTCAATCACAGTATCTGGCCACTGTTAATCCGGCTGCCCGCCGCCGTCTGACCCTCGTCAAGGATGCACTCAACACCGCGACAGCCCCACGCCACCCAACACACCGCCGTCACCGCTTCCAAGATCTGCCGGAACGAGAATGACAATCATCTTCCTTGGTCGTCGTCTCAAAGGCTCCGTCGCTGACTACCACAAGTCCGTCCGTCGCCGCTCGCCTCGCCTCACCCAGTCGCCTAATCGCCTCTCCTCCGTCTTCCGCCGCTTGATTCGTCTCTGGCCACCGTCGCTCGATTCGCCTCCGTCCGCCGCCACGACCGTCTTCTAGAGTCCATCAGCAAACGTGACATCTCGCCTCCGCCCGCCGCCGCGCCAAGCCTCCTCCATCTGGCCGACTTCTGTGTGCAGTTCTGAGTTTGTGGAGCAAGTGTGTCGTGTGCGTGCGTAGGTGTTACTGTGTGTGTGAGAGAGAATTAGGGAGAGAGAAATTAGGGTGGTTTTGGGTGGATCTCACATGATGGGTTGGATTGATTTATAATGTCTAAAATACCCTTAATAATTAGTCAAATATACATATTTGACTACAATGTGTGTTAATTTACTATACTGCCATTAATGATTGACCACAATTTGACTTGATCATAACCATTACCTCCTTGAGGGATCCAATGATCCAGAATTATTCTCATTTCTTTCACTATCTCCCTTTCTCATATGATCCTTTCTCTCTCTCTCTCTCTCTCTCTCTCTANTTCCAGGCAAATGATTGCATGCGAAATTCATAGTCCTAAAAACAGCATGTAAACAATGTTTTTTTTTTTTTTTGTTACTCATAGCCAGATGAAATAAAAAAATTAAGCGAGTACATTTATTAACCAAAATAATAGAAACTTTAAAGTAAGTGCAAACAGAAATTCATAAGAAACTATTATATTGATGCAACCAAAAATTAATAAAGCTTCATTTTGTTTGTGCATCTTGTCAAAGAATTGCAAAAGGTAAGCCAATAATTGACAAAAAGACGATTGTGAATGCTATTTATTGACGTAGAAGCTAAAAAATTACTGAAGAAGACCAGAGTTGCTACCGCCACAAATTCCACAAATGCGATTCGTGAACAATGGTGATTATATTCTACCAGCCTCAAGCGATATACCTTAATGAATAACTATTTAGGAAAACACTAAACTCAGAATCAGTTGGACAAAACATGAGGCCATAAAGAAATTTTAATTACAGAACCACAATCCTCCCCGCAAAGACTTTCAAAATAGTGCTTCACTCTAATTTGAGAAACCTAAAAACATAAAATAGAAAAAAGGAAAAAAGGAAATGGAAATCGCATTTTCAGAGTCTTGTTTTCTTTCTTTCTGTCACATTGATTGAGCGAGATGGTATAACAATCGTATACTCACATACCTTCTTATCGATATTAGTAACATAGACTGCTCTTGGGCACATCTCTCATTCAACTTGTGTCTGAAATTAATAATTTGAAGAATGTGAAGGAGTCGAATCAATATTCAAATAATGTGCAAATGTAAGAGACCCACAAATTTCCGACACTCATAAATGTAGGCATTTTAATAGGTTACCTTGATCAGTGGACTCTACGAAAGCAACACGAAGAACAGATCTCGGGTGTCCACATACACAGCAGTCTACAACCTTTCCCGTTAAAAGGCAAAGATATTATAAGAGATTAGAAACAAAAGGCACTCACAGAAAACTGAAAGAGCACAAAAAATTACCTGCCCACAATGCAAAAATAACCATAGCTAGCTGCTCTACATAAGAAAAACAATTGGTAAAAAATCCGCTAGCTACACCACAATGAGAGATGAGTTTGCATTGTTTTTCTTATAAGTGTATTTACCAATTTGTGGTTTCTAGACTGTTATTCATGGCCTGTTAAGTCAGGAAAAAAAAAAGAATCCTAATTACTCCATCACACAGATAGCTATAACCTAAACACGCCACTTGCTCAAACCAACAACAAATCCACCGAGAAGGGCAAGTGCTTTATTGTCTTATCTAGAAGTCCACCAATGCCACACTGCATCCAAAGCAGAAAAAAAAACATGTCAAAAAATAATATTTTGAAACTAAAGCGAAAGAAAGATATACAAGAGAGAGAGAGAGAGAGAGAGAGAGAGAGAGAGAGATAAGCCATGCGTTTTCATTGTTTGGCACAAGGTCCCAAAACTCCTTGAGTCGCTAATGCTTCATGCTTCAGCTGACTATCTCGTGGTTTAGGCCTCTGACGTTTCCTATTGCAAGCCTTTCTCTTTTTGGTAGTCGGTAATCTTGATAAATTACTTGGGTCTACTGAGTCGAATCCTTTTTATTTCGCTGCTCATCAGAAAATTCACCGAATTTGGCCACATTTATTCTCGGGGCAATAGATTCAGATTCCAATAAGTCAGAAAGAACTTCATATTCTATGACTTGAGCACTTTTTTGGAATTTGTCGTACTTTTTGGGAGATCCACTTCATAGACTTCACGGCTTCTTGATGATGTCATAGTCTTGTTAGATCCATTCTTTGTGTAGTGGTCGAAATCGCTCTGCCTCACCACACGCTCGACCCGTGCTGGCATAATTGCACCAAGCCTGATAAAGCAGCTTCTTAATAAACTTGTTCGGATGTAAAACTAATGTAGCAATTAGCATGTTCAGGTGAATTTTTCAAAATCCTGATTCCTACAGGCAAATAAATCAGCATATCATCTCAAGCTTCCAACTTTAATATAAAAAAAACGTCAAAATGTTAAATGGCTTCACCAACAAACATTAATGTAGTGCCCCGTTTATTTGTGGATTATTTGAGAAATATTATTATTATTGCTATTGTTATTATTATTGTTATTATTATTTTTGTGATAATATTTATATTTATTTTTCTTGAATGCCATAATATTAATTAATTGCCAAATATGATTAAATGCTAAATGTCTAATTGTCTAATTGATTTTGTGATTTATTATATTATTAATATGAAATATTGTGTATTTAAAAATATGTACAATATATATATATATATATTGTTCGGTTTATTTATTTTTATCCCGCGTTTGCATTCGTAATCGAGCCCGAGAATTTTCGTTGGAACCGAAATTGGGCCCGAGAATGTCCGTTTGAATCGTAAGCGAGCCCGTGAGCTGATTTGATGTCGCAACCGGCCCAAAACCAATTTGACCCAACTTCTCGGGCCCAGCCCGACAGATTTTTCTCCTATTTTTCTTTCGCGTGAGTCGTGTGTTTGGAGTTGTGTTTGTCTTGGACATGAAGATTTCTCATTAACCCTAATGAGAATATATATAATTCTCCATCTCGATTTCTCTCTTCATAAACGTACCCGCAGCTTTTTCTTTTTCTGATCGATAAACCCATCTCTCGTCTTTGATTCTTCCCTTACCTTTCACGCAAATCGCCGCCATCGGTTTTTTACTTTTTGTTCACGCGCAAGCAGCAGAAAATCCGGCTATCACCATCTCAATCATCACCCTCGTCGTCCATCATCACCCTGGTCGTCATCATCGTCTCTATCTAGTCATTCCGTTCGTGAGCAGGACTGCTTCATCTCGCCATCCTCCTCTGTTCGAAATTCCGGCGGCCTGCAACTTCCGGCGGGATTGTGTTCCTGTGAGCAGTCCACGACCGCCGGCGAGCCCTTCTCGCAGCAACTCGCGCAACGATCTCCGACGACCCCTTGCAGCGAGTTCCGGCGACCTTTGTTCGTCCTTCGAGCAGCCCGCGAGCCCGGCGACGTGAACACTTCCGAACGTGATTTTTCGACGAGCAGCTTCTCCTCCGGCGACCTTGCAGCATCGTCCGGCAACCTAGCAGCACTGACCCATCCCCTCTCGAAGCTGCTGCAGCACCTTCTCCTTCCGGCGAGACGCGAGAATCCGTCGAGCCCGTTCGTGTTCGTTTCGTTTTTTTATTTTTCCCGAGAACGGTACCTCGTCGTTTTTCTGTCTCGTTTAACTCGTTTATGATTTATTTTCGTTATGTGTTATTGTCGTGAAGTGTTCGTTGAACAATGAAATATATGTGTGAATTGCTTGATGTGAATATGTGCGTTTATATATTATTATGATTTTATGTGTTATCGTATGTTCGGGACCTCTTCGATTTTCTCAAGAATCGAACGAGACCTCGAAATTCGTGTAAGTCGGTGGATATTGGAACAATGTCGAGCCCTTGGTCTTATGAAAAGGCCTCGGACGAGAAATTTCATGTTATGAATTAATTGATAAGTTGTCGAGCATTTGAATCGCTGTTTTGGTGTTCGAATTTTTAAAAATAGCTCGATGCTCGAAACAATTTGAAAATTTGAGGGTGCTGTATTCTGTTCATTACGAGACGTGTGTAAAACTTTCGTGATTTTTGGAAGCCTGTTGATATTTTTAATAATTAAAATGTAATCTGATTAGAATAGTGTTAAATGCATAAAAGATTCATTTGTGAATCAAATGGGCTGAAATTTGAATATGTCATGCCTCTATGACTTTTATATGTTGTGTAAAAGTTTTAGAATTTTTGGGCTTGATTTGATGTGGTTAATAATTTATTTATCGAATCTGCAGAAGCGTTGTTTGAATTTTTATAAATTGGTTATGTCGTGAAAAATTCTGAAAGTTTGCTGCGATGCCTATTTTATGTGTTGAATTATGTTTTTAAAAGATGGGAATTTTTGGAGTCCATTTTGATTCAGTTTTGATTTAAATTCGATAAACTGCTGATGCTCGTATGAATTTTTAAAAATAGTAGCAGTCAACATTTAAAGCTGAGAGTTTTATACATGGACCTTAGGATGCTGTATGTTGTTGTGTAAAATTTTCAAGTTCTCGTTCGTTCACTAAGTTCAAGTATGAATTAATGTTCGCATTTTGTTGATATCTTGTTCGAATTTTATAAAATAGTGTATTTCGAGTTTGAAGCTGAAAATTTGTGGTTTTACATGTTTCTGGGAGATGAAATTTTGTGTAAAGTTTCAGAGCTTAATTCGTAGGGTAGCCTGACCATCTATTTTCATGTGATTAATGATTTCTATTTTCGAAACATGATTTTGAAATGAAAGTTGGGAATCAACTTGTTTTTCGTTCTGTTGTGAGGCTGACTTAGTCTCTCATTAGATGGAATTATTTGAACTCTCATATGTTGGTCGGTCGAGTTTTGTATTGAGTCTTATTGTTCCAACGTCCACAGGACTTCACGAACTACTTAGTCGAAACAAGTTCGACTGGGTCTGTTTTGTGTTTTCCGTTTAAAGTCAAGATAGATGTTGATTGTAGCATCTTGACTTAATGTAGGTGATTGAGGAGTCCAGCCTCGACCTACTTCCATTGCTTTGAGTTATTATCAATCCGGAATCCAGGTGGGTTATTCTAAAATTATCTATGCATATGTGTGATTTAAATTGTGATGAAAGTTGGTGTGATCTATGTATGAAAATGAACATGTAGCCTATCGATGTGAGCTTGATGGCCGTCGATACGGTTGTCCCCGTATGGTAAGATACGGTTACCCGTGAGGTAAATCTCATTAAGACCTATGAGAAGGCCGTGTCATTGATGTGACACGCAATCCCATGTTTCACTGATATGGCATGGCTTAGCTTTGATGAGCATAGATGTACATGAGTGAGTCTTTGATGAGACTAGAGTCATTGATGTGACTAGAGATGTGACATGATTTAATTGTTTATGTTCATGCTGCGACCATACCATTTATAAGTTATTCATGTGCATAGTGTGAGTACGATAGTTAACTGTACTCACTCCCACCTGCTCGTAACTGATGCAGGTTAAGCAGTTGGCGGGTGACGAGACGAGATGACGAGTGGTGGTTATGACATTTATTTATATAATTTTGCTTCCGCTTAGTTTATGAACTCATGTCGAAATTTGGATATTGATCATGTCGTTTGAAACTTGGAGTTATGAACTATCTTTATGATTAAGAACTTAATGAATGCTAGCTTCGTTTATGATTTATTATTCGTGCATGCTGTCTTTATTTGATACATTTGCATTTCTGGTTAAAGGCTTTTGGTAAATTTGAGTAGCGTCCACTGAGTTTTTAATTAAATTAAAGTTTGCGAAAAATTTATTGTGATTTTTATTAAATAAATTCGATAAATCCCTTGAAATAAAGTGGGGCGTTACAGTTTTGGTATCAGAGCCAGTCTGCATTTATGTAGACTAGTTTATAAGTGATTATTTGTTTAGATTTTGAATTATGACCACTCGTCTCCGTCACGCCGCGCTGCTTAAGGTATGTGTTTAAATAAGTATCGAGAAATATTTATAATGTGAAGATGTGAAATTTTGTATTTTTACATAAGTCGCAATGAAACTGCTTATGATATGAATTGTTGATATTTGGGGCTTAGGATCTATCCACCTTTAATCAGATGGAACTCTAGTGTTTGATGTTGAACTCTAGTGATATAGAGTTACGTTCGGACTTTAGAGGTTCCTCGTTATGAGTTTCAGTATGTTGTTATCGAGATAGGCTATGCCCATAGCAGTTTCCCTTGCTATATAACTTTATTCAATGTCTTCAAGTGAGGACCCGGTCAATGAGAACCGAGAATCTTTTCGCCCTCTTCGGACCTTTGTTAGGTTTCGAAAATATGAGATGAGTCAATATCTTATAGGCTGCCATTTTTATGGATGTTCATGGTCTCTGTTCAACCTCTGGTGTGTTATGTGTTTAATGTCTCTTATGCCTTGGTAAGGGTGAGTTCGTGCTAGCTCGAAGCATGGTTAGTTGGGTAAGAGATAAGGATTATGTGATTTATTGATTCCCCTTTATGTGATATGATGAGATAAGCGTATTAGGTTGAGAGTCTCGGTTTTATCATGATAGGTTTAGTCGGGTTCATGTGATGTATATGTTATCTTCGATGATTGAGGTTGAATTTTTGTATTAATGTGCATTGTTATATATTATCAAACCAAAAGATGTAATAATTCAAGTGAAAGACATAAGACTTTATTTTCCTATGTTGTTTAATAAGACCGAGTTGGACCTCGGACAACGTGTTTGATGATATTGATGTTTAAGTCTTAAAGTATTGATATCAAGGCTTGCTTAGCGTGTAATTTACGTGATTTCGAGGCTATGTTGTTGTGTGATCATTTTGAGTTGATGAAGACATGAAAACTCAATTTTTCGAGCTTCAGTTAGGCTCTATTTTTGTCGAACAAGATGATGTTTCTTGAACAAGTGTTCTTCATGAGATTTGTAGTACTCTAAAAGAAGTTTCTGTGAGTTTTGGAATTTTTTGGTTTGGGGTTAAAATGAATTTGTTATGATTTATCAAAGTTCGTCGAGCATGCTGTTTTGATAAACTCGGGCAGAAGGATTTGCTTTTAGTTCATGGCTATTTACAATGATTTTAACATGCCTGAATGGAAATGTGTTCTTCATGGCAAATGTAGTATATGATATAAACTGCTCGTAGGAATTAGAATTATGCAATTTAGAATTTTAGTTGATTTTATATAATTTTTCAGAGTGGGATGTACACCCAGTTTTTATGAAACCAGGATTTTAGTTAAGTATCGAATGTGTGCTCTGTTTAGGTGACTTACACGTGT